TTCCCTAGCCAGCAGATTAACGCGGTTGATATAGTAGCGAGGCTCTCGACGGATGGGAAGTAAGAAACATAGGATACACTTCATGGTACCCCCTTGGCTAGCTCTAGTGCTGGTGTCTAGGGCAAAGTCCCACACCGCCTCCTCGCCCTTATATACTAAAATGCTCACGGTTGAGGAAAACCCTGTACCCTGTGTGATAGGAATATCCACACAGTGCTCGCCAGTCGGGCTACTACTATGATTTTATCAAAACTACATGATAAAAATGAGATGACACACTGTTGACGCTACTCACCATCTGACGATTTTCACAGCGCTGTCTTAGTTACTATAGAAGAGTTTACTTCTGTCAGGCATCATCCATTTAATTTCAGAATCCTTTAAACCTGTTTCCCTGGAAACAAATATGTACCAAATTTGTTAATAGTAAGAAGTCTTATGTTATAAATTATTTCTATCTCATTAGCTTTTGCAGGCGATACAAATCACAAACACTATACATAAATACATAAATTGCGTTTCGGCTTTATTGAGACAGAATTTTCAACAATTATCGTATAATCTGTTATTTTTCACCTGTTTTTTTCCCTGCGTAAAAACGTAAACCTAGCATTGAGAGTAACACGGTTGATATTGTAGCGAGGCTCTCCACAGAGAAGTAAGAAACAGTCGATACACTTAAGTGGTGGCTAGCTCTAGAGCTGGTGTCTAGAGCAATGTCCCGACTGCCTCGCTTGCCCTCATATACTGCAATGCCCACGGTGAAGGAAGACCCTATGTCCTGTGTGATTGGAATTTTCACACAGTGCTTGCCGTTTGGGCTCTTCCTTGCTTGTCACAAGTATATTTCCGCCCCAACGTACCAGAGATAAAAGCGCACAGCCGTCCCTTAAGTGTGTTTCCTCTGTACCTTACTTCTCTGTGGGCTCTCCCTCTAGCCTCACATTCCTGACATTACGAACTTTGACACCCTTTCAATCCACTTCCATACACAAATATTCGTGGAACGGAAGTAACTTGTAACATACACTCATTCAAAATAGAAGGAGAGTGAACTGATCTAGTGGTTAGAGCGTGGCACTTAAGCCCGTCCCTGGTTCAAATCCCACCAAATCACCAATGGATTTTATCAAAGATTTGATCTAAGAGACAAACCAACCACTAGGTCTAGCCTGAAGTAATGTTAAAAATAATCCCGAGCTCATGCCAAGCGTCCTAGGACAAACAAACAAGAAATTGCCAGAGTTTCATGAGCATAGTTACAGATATGAAAAGCTTTTTTTTATAAAAACATATCTTATTAGATATTATCTCACAGTGCTATTAATGGGGTTTATCATTTAACTAAATGTTTACCCAATCTGCTGAAACTCATGAAGAGATACCTGTCAGAGGTGAAGTTCGGAGGGATGGTCGCCCAGTCGTCTACTCGGACTTTTACGGGATCAGTGGATTCTTAGTGATTTGCAACGCAGATCAGTTATTCTACTAATTTTTCCTCATCATTGTTAGTGTGCTAACCGTACTGTATTTCTATTGATAATAATATTTACTTTTGGTTACAAGAAAGGAAATCGTGATGAAGATTCCATCCAGTCCACAATTTTTTTCAAGTTTGAAATGAAAACCATAGCAGCTTATTTCAACCAAAATACTAAAGTAGAGATTAGCTTTAGCAATTTCCAAAATGGTAATGTGTTTTACCAGCATTTTGCATAATCATTCTTCAGGCTCAGCGCCTAGATTATCAATCTCTATTGATTATACTTGATACTTACTTGATACTTGATGATGTCCCACTAGCATCGCTCCTGCGACGTGGTCGTCAAATGGGTAGAAAAACAATAATAGGCCTAATTGAACAGATCTTCTACTTTAAAATAGGCCGCTTCACTTAAATATTCTTTTAACATCTTCTTAAATTTATTGAAATTTTGCTCTTGGATAATGTTCCTTGGTAGTGAGTTGTAGATCTTGACACTACTAAAATATGGGCTCTTGCTGGCCAAAGTTGAGTTAACTTGAGGTACATGTACTTGATTAGCTCTTCTCGTGTTGTACTGATGGACCAGATTGTTTGTGAAAAAGATGTCCGGATTATTTCTCACCAAGATGGCAGATTCTAAAATAAATAGTGATGGGAGGGTTAAAATTCCAAGGTCCTTGAATAGGGGCCTACTGTGAGCAAGACGTTGAGCACCACACATTCTCCTAATAATTCGTTTCTGGAGGAGAAAGATCCTATTGGCCATGGTACTACCTCCCCAGAATACTATTCCATAAGATATTATACTGTGAAAACATCCATAATAAACTTTTAACAAAATGTCAGTCTGGACCAATTTCTGGAGCCTAGTAATTAAATTGATTACAGATCTTATCTGCGCCTTTTGCATAATCTGATCCAACGGGATGCTGGAAGGGATCTGGGACTGGATGGGACAAGCTACAAGAAGCAATGAAGCTAAATCAATTTTGATTTAGTTTCAGAAAAAAACCATGCTTGAGTTACTCAATTAATTGAATGTAGGAATTCCCTAAATACAAACCGTTTTTATCTTCATAACATAAAAAACCATTAATCTCTACACAGTTTTTGATGGATCTAAAATAATAAAAAACAAGGATAAAATCACATATACCTGAAAATGATCGGCCGATTGCAAACTTTAGTTGTCTATTTCTATTACACAGAGACTTCATTCAATAAGTAATATCCAATACCCAAAAATTATTAAGCTATTCACTTATAGAACTTATAGTAAATTTTGAACAAGCAAAAGTGTTATAGTCTTTGCCACCTTAACTTGAGGTAGCCCAGACTGACCTGCAGGGCCTTTATCAGCTGGTCCCTCACGATTCTTTTACAACACTATTAGCGACACTTCCGTGAACGACCTATTTCAATATTAACTTTAAAATTATAATCGGATATATTTTCTATTTGCCAAAGGCAGTTTTCAAATTAATATGAATTTGAACTTAATTAGAGCATTCTCTTCAACTAGTTTTAATCGTTTAAATAAAGGAATCAACATGAAATTATCCCTATATCACAACTTTTATTAGTTACCTACTTTATACTATTTTAAGTTTAGAATATTGATCCTTGAATACTCAGTTTGGTCAAAAAAATACAGACAAGTCAATTTGCACACCACTTAACTCCGCAAAAGTATTACCTTTACAATACACCTTACCAGTTTACAAAAAAATACTAAAGGGTTTACAAAAATAATTTACCATTTACCAAATTAGTTACATTTAAGACTGGAAAAAATAACAAGTTCAAGAGTACTTACGGTCTGACGACTTCCTGGACGTAGTGTTGTCTTAGTTTATGGTTCAGGGAAGTCTGCTTATGTCTTTACAAATATTTTTCTTAAATTTCAGTTATTTTGTTTCCCTGGCAACAAATATGTTCAAAGATAGTAAATGTGTAAAGGCCTACACAGGTTGTCTCAGACCTCTCTTGAGGATTTTGATATTTGTGTACACATTAAAATTAAGAAAGGCAAATACTTGATTATGCCTGTGTAGTGTGTGATTTTTAAACAAAATCCAAATCATTTAAGATTTAACAGTCATTAACCTAAAGTGTTTAATGTAGCAAATAAAAGAAATAGTTTGTAATTTTTATAAACAAATTAAATCATTGATTCGCAAAAATATAAAAACTTAACTGATTGCGGTGTAACAGTGTATCGGTCAATCAATATTTTTAGTTACTGTAAACCTATAATAGTGTGATTATAGGGTTTTGGCGTACATTTTTATTGTAGATTCAAGATGTAAAATTTTAAGAATAAATTAGTAAAATGCTTTTGTAAATTTGCTGTGTTACTTTTAACAGTAAATAGTAAACCATTAACAGTGATATTTGTGCCTTGTTGAGGCCTAGAAGTTTATTTTGAAGTCATGAAACGTATAATTTAAACGGAACAGAGAACCAAAGGAACCTAGATCTGACAATCTTAATTTTTTTCCAATTACGTTTAGTTTAAAATAATCAAGTGTCCATTATTAAACCACATCATGTCTACACAATCACAATAATTATTATTGACAATTTTCAAACCACACACAATGTCTGACTGTATAACAACATACCTTGAACTTTATTATTGGATTTTAATGGTAATGGTAACATAGACAAAGCAAGATATTTTATATTTGTACCTAAAACTTTCACTTGATCTGCTATAACCTCCTTTAGGTTACGAAATAGAGCTTTATGACATTAAGCTTGAAAATTTCCGTGATAAAATACAATTAGCATTTGACTGTTATTATGCGGCCAACATGTCAGAATAGTGTATAGTCAAAATAGTAAAGGTTTTCTTGGAGCAATTGTTTGGTTTGGACTCTGTAGATCTAATATTGTTGATTTTTAAACAATCTACAGTTATCTTCCATTTTAACCTTGATTTTATCTTATCTTTGGAAACATTACTTTATAATTTCCTTGGTTTTATTTTATTTTTACTCCTTAAACAGAAAGGATTACAAAGGAATCCTTATTATAGTTCGGCCGCTTAGAAAACGACCTCCTCCAGCATTGGTTTAGCATTAGCGCGCAGGTCGTTTTCTAAGCGGCCGAACTATAGTTTTGGATTACAAAGGAATCTTTATTAGTTTTGGATTACAAAGGAAATTTAAGATTTTGAAGCCGGTCAATGATAGACTCCGACTTGGGAAGTGTTCGAGTCACTAACATACCCCAACCAGCTGTTCTTTAAAGTTAGTTACTCGACCACTTTTCACTTACCCAGCCATTTTCGATTGCCAGCCGGCTTCACAACCTTAAAATATTAACTTTTATTTAGTTCAAAATTAGCATTTTTACTGGTATGTGTTTTTTACCCTAAGTAACGAGTCTGTGAAGATGACATGTTGTGTTTTTAAAGGCCTGAAGATGGGATTATAATCCCAAAACTTATACAGTCATTGTATAGTTTTATCCATAGCCTTTTGACACTCAACAGCTGATGTTTGTACAGGAGATGTGTACCTGGTCGGATGTACCAACGTAGGCAAGTCAATGTTGTTCAACGCCTTGCTTCAGTCTGACTACTGCAGAACCAGAGCCGTAGACTTGATACAGAGAGCTACCACTGCTCCGTGGCCAGGCACAACTCTCAACCTGCTAAAGGTATGACCCACCTCGGGTAGTTAATCTTAATCAGTAGTTCATCTGTCATTGCATAATAAAAACTAGTCGGTATTTGAAGTTTGTTTTAGCATGCATACATACTCACTCCTCCGGCCACTCAAATCCAAGTTTATTTTTGGCCTCCACAACAAGTTTCCTCCAGACTCCTCATCCTCCGCCATGTCCACTTCCCCCAGTTCTTATATCTCCAGCCAGCTGATCACTCCATCTTAATCTTGATCTTCCTAGTGGCTGCCTTCCTGCCGGTCGACCTCTTTACGCCCTTGTTGTTGCATCCTCCTCTCTTCTTCTCATATGACAAGCCACCTAATTCTTCCTACTTCTTGTCATCCCCACAACACAAGTTCCTGAGTTCTCAAGTTTACTACTGAGAACTGGCTTTATTTTATTTTATTGTTTCTATTTAAACATGAGTAGCATTTATTAACATTATTTGTAAGGGAACGGTTTAAACCGTAGTCTTGTTAACTATCTAACATCGATCTGTTGTTAGAAAGCATCATCAATTGATAGCCCATTGACAATGGTATCTGGGTCTAATCGAACCAGCGACCTTCAGATTTTAAGGCAAGCACTATAACTACTCGGCTACCCAGGCAATAATAATTCTGCATACACACATATTCTCCTCTAACTTTTCACAACTAAACTCTTCTTAAAACTACAAATGATTCGGTAGTACATTTATGTTTTACAACTCTCAGTTACAGTTAAGAGTTATAAAAGGTACTGGTCCTGTTAGAGCAGGGGACTTCGGTTCCTAGGGTCCCGGGTTCAAATCCCGCCAAATCTTTATGGATAACCAATCAAGATGAATTTTTGTTCTAAAGTGGATCTGTTGTACCTTAACATACATACAAAGTTGCAAAATGATTGATTGAAAACCCTTAAAGATAAAAATGTTAAAGTGAAAAAATCAATATGGCGGATATCTGGTTTATGAAGCGATTTTTGAAAAAATATTACTCTTGATTTTCTCTTCATTTTGACACCCATAAAACCATTTCCCGGAGTTAAGCTTTTTACTTATGGGACACCCTGATTCTTTATGCTCCATCCGAAAACTTGGTATGCAGATTTTGGATATTTTATGTATGATAGTAAAATAAATGTTTTTTTCATCATAAGGAAACAATTCCAAATCAGTGGTATAAAATTTAAAGATAGTCTCTAGCCCTTGTATACAAAACCTCCAATAACCCAGTTTTTTCTTTGAACAGTTTCCAATCACTCGGCCCGAGGGACATCGTTTGGCGATGCGTTCTCTGCGGCTAAAACAACAAAATATGAATGACCTACAGCAAATACAACAAGGAGGTCATCACGAGGTTACCCCACAAATGATCTGTAAGTAACCTTTTCTCAATGTTGCTAGGATTAGCTAGGTTTAGTGTTGATAGTTTGACTCAAAATGCATAACGACATTTGTTAGCATACATGATACATGCCATTATTGGATAACACCTTCTTCGGGGATATTCAATAGTTGTCATACACAAAAAAATGTTCAGCCCAAAACTAACTACTGTATATGAAGTGTTTTGGGGCTTCACTCACCTTTATTTTGGACTGGTGATATCCAGGACTCAACAATAAAGGTGAGCGTAGAAGCCCACTAAATTTCACAAATGAAATTAATAATATTACCTTGCTTAAAAGCGAGTAGTTTTAAAACATGAAATTGTTGTACAGTACATGATCCGTATTTTGCACAATCAAAATTCCTCGCAGTGCCAGTATTAAGATAGGAGGTGGATAGAAACTACGAGAAAGTTGTCTATAAATGTAACAATCAATTGTGATCAAACGTTTTCAGTTTACACTTTAAGCGAATATGAAGCTGATCCAGGCATATTCTATCTCGACAACAAATCATCAATTTCAAATTGGAGTTGTGTGTCCATCTTAGTTGGGAATGTACAGTAGTGAAAGTGATTTATAGTTTAGACCTAAAACACATTCTCTTTGAGGCAATTCCAAGGAATTCTACTGTTCCTTTTGCAGCTCAAATCAATCGGACCTTTTCACATGGCAATATTGAGTCTAACTCAGATGAATACAGCGACGACCTCTTCGCCATGCCCAAGTTGGAAGTTCTCCGTAAGATAAGAGAACCAGGATCTGGACTTGATCCTTCAGACCCAATGTTGGCAAAGAGCAAATGGCTGTATGATACTCCAGGAGTGATTACTTCAGACCAGGTACCTAACTTTGTCTGCTAAACTAACTCTGTGTCTAACTATAGTCAAACATTGTGTCTGAGTCTTTGCAGAATTTTGCAGTAACCCATTGACGACTTATGTGTGTAGTCTGTCACTGCATTTCGTGGGATAGTCGTACTCCTAACCCCACTGGTCCTCAAGTACTACGTTAAATCTGACCTACGAATGCTAGTGTTATCGCATGATGACAGTATAAGCATTTATACTGGCAATTGACCCGTTCGGCCAACGGTGGCATGTTAGCTCAGTTGACTAAGGCATTGCACTGACGAGTTTATCGTTGAGGTCTTTCTATATGTGCGGGTTCAAATCTAGTACATATGCAATCCATATTGAGCTTGCTAATGTGTGGCTTAGCTGGAGTGAAGCCCAACTTAAATAAACGATGTCCAACTTGGGTGGACGTTGATGGCATTAGTGAGATTAATAAGGACTGCACACAACACAGGTTTTGCTTCTTTTCACATTTGTATAGAGGAGGAGGACACAGATTTTTCTTTCTTGGCTTTTATTTTGGTTATAAATGCAATTAGGAAATTAACATTGCTCTAATCCTGCCTCTAATTTACAGGCTCGATTTTGTATTATATTTACTTATAACAACAGTACAGAAAATTGAGCATCATGTTTGATTTTGATCATAAATAAACAAAAACTAATTATCACAAAGAACAAAAACCCCAGAAACATTCATACAAAAATGTATGCTAATAGCTTTGCCTCTTCAGAACAAATTGTATAGTAGGTATTTTACACCTTGGAAAAATTTAATATATTTCTCTGAAACAGATTATTAACCTGCTGACCACTGAAGAGCTGATGTTAACTTTGCCTCGGCAACCACTGATTCCTCGCACTTTCACAGTGTGGGCAGGGCAGAGTCTGATGGTAGGAGGATTGGGACGACTCGACTACCTGTCCGGGAATACCAACATCAAGTAAGACACTCCCATTGTACTCTCAAATGTTTTGTTGGAAGAAAAAAAATCATTAAAAAAATTAAATAAACTACAATTAGTACAAAGAGGGTAGGCAAGATGGTGCGTCAAGCTAGTCTGATTTATCCTGATCCAACTTGCATTCAAAGCACCTTGGGGCAGATTTTAACTATATTTTTTTCCTAAACATTCTATTGCGAATGACATAACACTGATCGTGTCTTCCTATTAAGGTGTTTGAATTAAATTGGTCAAATAAATCGGTTGGACAAAACCTAATATTTTGACCATTACCATAACATGTAATATACAATAAGTTTGTATCAGGATGACCGTGCTAGCAGCAGACACACTGCCTGTGACTATCTGCTTCACACAGGATGCTGCGGAGGTGTACAGTCACTACCTCGGCTCCGCAGCACTGGCAGTACCTTGTGGGAGTCCTGAGAGGCTGCGGCTGTGGCCCGGACTGAAGTCCAAAGAAGAGTTCGCCCTGAAAGGCACTGGTTGGAACGAGAGTTGTGGTGATGTCGTTTTGTCTTCAGCTGGTAAGTTGACATTTTTATGAGTTTAATTTAAATTGAGTGCTAAATGCAAAGCCAGGACAGTAAAACCTCTTTGAACCATTACCATTTGGATTGGAACTATAATTTAACTGATTAATTTGAACTCCCAAAAGTCAAAGATCATTTTAAAATATCATAAATTCACTTTGTGTAGCTTAATTTATTTTTGTTTTTTTGTTACTTAAAACTTTCAGTTGATTATAAAAAGTCAACTGTAATCATTGAAACGTGTGGTTGCGCAGGCTGGGTGGCACTGACGGCAGCTAAGGACAATCTTGTCAGATTGCAGCCATGGACGCCTGAAGGTCGAGGAGCTTATGTAAGGATTCCCCCCGTACTGCCCAGAGCCGTTTGTGTCAAGGGGCAACGCATGTTCAAATCCCCAGCTTATGCTCTTTTTAACGACAGCATCAAACTTAGAAATAACTAAATCTGTAAATAGGATTACTATGTACAAGGATAGGGATCAGCTAGCTTACCTGGTAGAGTCCAGATTAGCTTTGGTAACATACACAAAACAGTACAACTTAATATTTTGTCCCTGTTAGAGACATCAGAAGGAAGAAGAGGAGACAGATAAGTAACTGCAGAAGATCTGAAGATCTCGATCTCAAAAGACTGATGAAGAAGTGAGTCTTTTTCTTCTCCCTTCTGATGAAGTCTCTAACAGGGACGAAATATTAAGTATTACTGTTTTGTGTTTGTTATGTGTTTTGTGTATGTTACCAAAGCTAATCTGGACTCTATCTACCAGGTAAGCTAGATGATCCCCATCCTTGTACATAATTATCCTAATCAGCCAATTGACTGTTCCTTAATTTATAAATATGTAAATAAATATTAATTATTACATTGTGTTGGGTTTTATTTTTAAATAATGTTTTCACCCCCTTGGAATTATCATAGTTTTCTAAGTCCAGAACCACAGTATTCAGGGACACCAGAATCTAAAAATTTGGGTTTGTCAAGTATTTCAATAAATTATTATGCTTATTATTTTATTTGTCTATCCATATATTCAAAAACTGTCGTTAAACATTTCAATTTTGATCAAACATATTAACATATTATAAATGTAAACTGATATCTGTAGCCTAAATGTGTAAACCAAAACAACCCAACTAACGGAATCCTTAAAAGTTGGCTGGACTGCACAAATTAGGTCTATGCTTGAAAGTAGCATAAAATCATGAGGAGACTGTATTGGTTCATAGAAAAACAATTGGGAAAATACAAATAACTCCATCCAAACTTGTATATTAAAATTTATTGTACAAATTCCTAGTTTCTCCGGATTTTTTATTTTTAAGTGTTAAATACTCCCACAAAAACTGCCTCTACCACTTGGAAGAATACACTTATGTTTTCCTAGGCTATTGGCACTTCTATGTTCCGATCTACTACTATGCAGCAATGACCTCTTCCAAGATAGCATCATTAAATAGCTTTAGGACAAATTGCATCTGATTCCAGAATCAACTTTGTTTGAAATCAAACCAGGAACTTTTCATAATACTAGACAATTCAACATGAAAGAAAACCACACCTAGTATAATATAACACCACCACTTAGTAAATAGACGTGATTACATTCAGCGTTGACTCTGTGAAGTATCCGGATTCAATTATTGTACAAAAAAATTCTCACAATAATAAAGTTTACTAAAATTATTAGGAATCTATCAAAGAGAATTATTTTTTATAAAATTATGTACAACAGTATTACTTTTACTGTGTAATTTTCATTTACATATAAAACTTGAGTCCGACTTTCATTCTACTGTATTCTTAATTCTCAAAAATTCCACACAAGAATTCTAACTGCAGCATGCACCATAAATGTACATTGTTTTAAATATGACAAACAATACACCTTCATTTTATAACAGGCTTAACACAAAGGTGATTGTTGTCTTGCACATTTATTTACCATTAATTAATATACAAACATAATTGAAACAAATTAGAATACAACACTTACAATTAATAGTCGTCAAAGATAATCGTAATTATGTCGTTAAAAGTAATTATTTAAGTTACTGCTAATACAATTCCTCTTGAAACGAATAGCTCTAACTTCTCCAAATAAGATTTTCTTTATAGTCTTTACAAATTCACTGACAATTGTCTGAACTTGTGTGGAAAAATTTAGCACATTTTAGACTCTTCTGCAACGGCATTTTCTTGGATTTGGTTCAATTTTAAATATGCAGTCATTTAAGTATTTCTCTGTTATACATTTTTTTTCTTACAGTCATATAGCAACACATTAAAACTGGTGATATAACCTCACTACAGAGGCGAGATGTTAAACATCATAACAGATCATTAAAAATTGTATTCGATAGCATGAGAATTAATTGTCATCTTAAGGCAATTAAAAGTCACAATTTTTTACCATAGTCAATGGGTCAACAGATAGGCTATCAGTGTTTAGGCTAATGCCTCTTGTATTATTGTAGTTTCTCATTAATCTAAATCCCTATTTAAAGTTCTATTAGTTAGTCCACCTATAGGTCGGCCGCTTAGAAAACGACCTCCTCCAGCATTGGTTTACCATTAGCGCGCAGGTCGTTTTCTGAGCGGCCGAACTATAGTTCTAATGGCATTGCATTAGAAACTTGATAATATTCCAACAGTGTTTCTATTGACCCATATGGATAATTTTTTTCACGACTAGATGAATCTTGAAACTGTACTCACGACCTAGTGAATTACTCCTCCCTGGACGTTTTCTCCGGTGCTGGGTTTTCGATCTTCTACCTGTCTGTGGTTGAATTCATCTTTCATAAATTTCAATGTTCATTTTATTAGTGTTTCCCTGGAAACAAGTGTTTAAATGTTGAAAATAATATTGCGTTATAAAGGCAAAATGGTTTCATCTTCAGCTTTTGGTGGTAGACATCCCATTCCTATATTGGTCGACAACAGTTTTAGAACAAATAAATAAATAAAAAATTAACGTTATACTGACCGCATGGATAGTGTTGTTTCTAATCACTAATTTCTGTGGTATATACCAACATTTTAACCGAACCAAACTGATAGCACAACTTTTTGTAAACTGCAGTATATTATTAAGTCACGTCGACTAGCTTGATAAAAAAACTAAGCGAGAAAAGAGAAACTTGACTAGCACACTCTGTGAAGTAGGAATTTATACATCCGTAGCGAAACGTCAATAGTCTTAGCTTCATGGTAAACTTTTACACTAAGAGATATCAACATTTTACTAGGTTTAAATGCCTGTATTTTTATTTATAGCATTTTGCGACTCTTGACTCTTAACTGAAAAAAAATCATGTTTTTCATTGTGCTAGTAAGAAAATAAATGCATAGCTAGGGATTCTGAGTTCATAAAATCAAAATGATGCAGTGGCAGTCCCAGGATTTCATTTCGGAGGGGGGGGGGTGACCACCGGGGGTTTGGGGGGTATGGATTATAGCCCCCAAAAAAGGGGGTCCGGGGTAAAAAAAAGTGGAATTTAAAGCCTAAGAACATATTTTTATATATATTTGAGCTCTAAAATATGCTCAAGCTAATAAAATATAAAATATTTCGGGGGGGGGGGGATGTATCCCTCTCATCCCCCTCCCTGGGACCACCACTGAAATGATGAAACCCTCTCCCATGAATGCATTTTCCATCCTAGTACAATGCCCTAGTCATGGCCGCTTTAATATGGGCAAAAGGTTTGTTGGGGGTGCAAGAGAAAAATACCATGACCCTCGTCACCCTTTACACGGCCACCAACCTGCAGAGCGACGGCTTCGGTCCAGAAAGAGCTTTTTATCATGGACACGAGTCCTGGATGGATCACTCTCAAGCAATTGGGTGGTAAGGTGGGAGGCCACGTTGACTAACCCTCCCATACCAGCCAGGGAGGAACTGGCTTGGTGTGGAAGACCCTAAATCGAATTAGGGTCGAGGTACCAAAATGCAAGACAGACATGCAGAAATGGGGTCTCTTACCAGACGAAGAAAACATCTTGTGCGCGTGTGGTGCTGTTCAGGATCCTGGCCATCTGCTGATCTGCGCACGCCTAGACCAGTCTTGCACATTAGATGATCTTTTACATGCGAGTGACAAAGCCATATCGGTAGCTAATTTTTGGAAAAGCTAAGTCTGATTTCCGGACATGGAAAGTAAGAGATTCCATGTCCACTACATCAAATTGATGTCCTACATCAATTGTAGTAAGTAACCGTAAAATCAACAAAATTTCATATTAGATGAGATTGCTTCCAGTATGCCATGAGTAAATATTAATTTTCATCCCCCCTCACTTGAATTAAAAACCACAGATATTAGAACAGAAACCGTATGGAAACATAAATAAATGACGTCATTGGCCCAAATCGTAGACACAAAATAACCTATTCTTTTTCGACGTTTTTTTTTTTTACAGAAAAATATATCACAAACATATTTACTTTCACACTAGTGATGTAATTTCTATCTGTAGGTACCGTTTCTGTTCTAATATATGTGGGAAAAACTATCTGTCAAACATTTCAATCGCCTTTTCAGGTAGTATGTGAACTTGTCTAATATGTCAGATCTTAAAGAGCATCAAGATTCACAAATTTTTTTTCTGAGAACTAGTTTAAATACTGGAAATATTTATCATTTTCACTAAACTAAAGCAGTTTAGTTGTTTATGTTTACAAAGAGACAAAAACATTTGTACATGAAAAAATAGTATGTGTTAATCAGATGATCAACTGGATAAAAGAAAATTGAACAAAGTAAAAATTTATATTAGAAAGGTTGGGATTTAAAATGGTTTGTTTCATTGAGCAAGGTACAGTTATGTATTATATGTAGAATGTAGGTAGCATTTAATTATTTAATCCAAACAGAGCTTATAGCTATATATCTTATGTGAATGAATTAAATTATTCACTCACCAACTTGGATAGAAGATCTCTTTATTTAGCAATGTAATTTCTTGAAGGCTCTTACTGCTATGTTGAATTAATATTTGAAACTAAAATCAAAGATTCCATGGAAACAAAAATTTTATTAAATCAGAACAAAAAGTCTACTCTAACCTCCATAAGAGTATTTTATAAAAATGTATATTCTTTAGGGTACTTATTTAAATTTTCAACAAAATTAACTAAATTTTGTAGACAGAACTTAAATGTATTTTTATTTATCTTTTTTTTACCAAGCTTGGATTTTTGTCATTCACTTAGTATCTACTCAACTTTCTTAATTTGCAGGATTAATCTAAATTGTCCCCATTAGAAAGACATTGTAGGTGTAGGTACAGAAATCTTGCAATTTTCCTCTAAATCTTACTTCGTTTTAAAAAAGGGGGAATGTTAAGATAATACTACCGGTATGCTTTTTATTACTACAAAATTGTTCAGTCAAAGGATTAAATTAAGTTCATTTGAAGTTATTTAAAATTAGTTTTTTCCTTGTTTTTTTTTAGGTTTGTAAGAAAGAAATGTGGTCGTAATGTTCACCTCAATAAAGCAATTCAATTCCCTCACAAGTCTATTTTCATACTTAGGAAAACTTGTACGGTAATTTATTTAAATAATTAACTACTAGCAACCTGTGTCACTTTGTGACTTAAAAATACGTGATATATTTTATGTATAGTTGATAAGGGTGAAAACTATTATTTCTCATCATATCCCTATATTTGCATTGCGTGCCCTATCACTTTCATTGCTAGCGCGATCTCTTCGAGGCATCTTAGTAAAATTACAAATAGGTAATAATGAAACATACTATGAGAACACAAATCTCTTCTTTACATTTTAAACAAACAACATTACAATTATCTACTTAAATTCCCTAAAATATTAATAAAACATACTATGAAAACACAAAATCCTACCACAACACCAAATCCAAATCAAGTAATTTTCTTCTTTATGCCTACATTTTATACAAATAACATTACAATATTTTACTTGAATTCACTGAAACATCACCAACTCCAGATAACCCCATTTTCGTACGTATGTAAACAAAATTGTATTATGGCCATCTGTTTTGATGTAAACTTGAAACAGTTCAGATGATTCGCAACAGAATTCAGCACAAATTCTGAAATTTCCAAAAGCCTGTAGGATGAAGGGCTTTCACAAGATATCACCCAAACCGCAAAAGGCACATCTAGAGGATAAGAGCTTTAAATTAAAATTTATACCCAATATGCCTCTAAAAATAAATATTTAGGGGTCGATTTGCTGCACACAAAAATCCAACAATTTTTTTTATGATATAGATGTTCTTATTAGTAGTAAAGTGGGGGTGGGAACGTGTGTGAACGTGGGGATTGGGATTTTTTCCAAAAATCCTATGTATAGGCTCGTGTTTTATTAAACTTGATTGTGAGCTTTCCCCACTGGACAAATTACGACTACACCACTGGTTCTTATAACAATATTGAATACCTTGAATACATTCAACCCAAAGTGTAAGATGTTGTCTCGGAGCAACATAAAAACTCGAGTATTTGGGGTCGATAGTCACTTCTCCAGTGATAACAAAACAACCCTTGAGTTATTCCTTATCTCTCAGATCCATTAGCCCTACCCTTGCACAAAGGAATGTTGGGGGAAAGATAACCTGACTGCAGTCTGGCTGGTCACTCACAGTTCCTTCCAAGCCACGCCTCAGAACAGCTGTATATACAAGGCTTCAGGGTAGAGGTAAGAATACTTTGCTGTCCATTACAACATCCAATAGTAGTCACCTAAATTAGTTGAAAATCTCTAATTGTAATAAATTAAAATTATATTTTAAACTGAAAATTTTAACTTGGACCGAGAAACACAAACTTTGTCTACATACTTTTGCTTAGATAAATCCTGGTGCATGGATTGAGACATACTGTTTGTAGCTTGGCTAGTTCTTACTGATCGGCCTTTTGATCTAGGTACACTTACTAAAATTTTAAAATATGTCACTGGATCCAGTTTGAACTTTTGAAAAGTTGCTGTCTTCACACAGTTGAATTGTTTGGAATTTTCCTCTTAATTTAGCGTTTATCAAATCCAATAATCTTATTAGTTATATGATTTAAGTTTTGGGATGTGGACATTCAAACAAATGCTTAATTGCTTAATTTGCTTGATTTTTTGTGAAATATTCTCTAACAATGCAAACCTTCAAGTCAGTTTTTTTCTTTAAAATGGAATTTGTAAATGGGTTCCTGGATTGTAGATTTATTTATTCTTAAAGTGCTTACATACATTGTTCTGATTAAAAATGTAAATACTGTACTATGTGAAGGTTCAGAATCGGAACTATAATTAATCCCTAAAATATTAAATAGGTAGCTTTAAAGCTGTTTTAAAATCCAGGACATAGTATATTCAAGTTAATCATTAATTCTTTGAACTATATGTTCAAAAATTTTCAAATAAGATTTAGAATAGGTAGTTAATAAATAATTTCTGAAAATAAATTTAAGTTCAAACCTGAATCTCTACAACCTATTGGCAAACCTAGTTGCAGAACTAAATTTTTATTTTGTGTAAGAATTAAGAAACAGTTCACTGTAGGAATGCTGTAGGTAAAGCAAGAGTTTCTTGTATCAACTTTTTCATAACTCATTATTTAAAGCTCATTTATTGTATTATTGCAGATTTTTTCACTAATTTGTGTTTTACTACTGTGTTTGTATATTTTAAACAACTACTCTACAATGTTTTGTACTCAGCAGGCTCCGAGATGCACAGTTCTATGTTGTTGTTGCTGGCCACCGCAGCGCTAGTGTCAAGCAGGGACGCCAAGTGGTTCTTGCGTCGCAACACTGTCACACAAGTTGTTTACCAACAACGCAGTCAGACGCTGGTCGTACCTTCTTCCTGCGTTGTCGTAGAACCTTCACTCAAACCCTGTCGTCATCTGCGCCAACTACAACCCACTCCTGTCTCCCAGTTGCCCAAGTATGTTTGGTTTTAGCAATAATGCTTCTTGCGATAAAAATCTTGCCTGGGTGTAAAACGGCTACTCTAATCTGTAATCTGTATAATCTGAAATTTTAACCTCCAATCTACCAACCCTAAACAATTGAGCAGTGTCCACTGCTCGCATTGAATTTTTTCCAACTACTCCCACTCTCAAATCAGCTATGTTTCTTTACATAAAACACTCCCAGGATATAATGTTGGCTAAGTTGTTACACCTTTAAATCTTAAGGTCTCTGGTTGAATTCCAAGTAAGACAGATTCTGACCCTAAATTCTATTTGCCAGTGGGTTACCAAATAATGATGCTGTCTAACAAAAGGCCAAGGTGAAAATGGTTCTTAAACAAAAACCATTAAAAATGTGAAAAATATATTTGTGGCAAAAGACAAAACATTGTGAATTTATGTGCCTGTCGTTATGTGGAGCTATTTTGCATTTTATCAGAACAATTACATATTGTTTAATACAACTATTCAGCTATCAGCACAACTTTTACTGGAAATAAGTTTTTTTTTAACAGTAGAACCCCCCCCCCATATTTGGTGTTGGGATCCGAGTGTTCGTTAATTGGTTGGAGCAAAAGAACTTGGGTTGGGTTGAGTCAAGCTGAACATTAATTTCTGTGACTGAAAGTGTTTACAAAGAATGAGGATGCGCGGTTAAAAATAGATCATTTGGCCGAGATCGTAGGAGACAATGATATAGCTGTGACCGCAGAATTTGCTGTAATCTAGGGGAGATGTTCATAATTTCGCCATAACCGTGAAAGATATTCTCGTTTTTACCGTGACCTCATAAGACATTGACGATTTCACTGTGGCTGTGTAAAATGTTCTCAATTTTACCATGACCGCAGGATAATGATCATGATTTTGTTATGACTACGGAAGATGATCTCGATTGTACTGCGACCACAGAAGTCGATCGCAGAAGACAGTTTTATGGTTTGTTATAACCACAGACTAAAATCAGGTTTTCCCGGTGAAATTTTAAAATAATATTCCATAAAATTATATATATATATACATATATATTGCATGTCAGGGTGTTGCCAACCTCTTAAGTTGGATATCCCAATAAGTTGGTTATGCTGAGGTTGGATAAAAGGAGGTCTACTGAACTTAACTGTTTTTACAATTAATTTTTACATTTAGATCCCTCAAATATTTCCTTTAAGATGTTTATTTTCCTAGAATCACTCTGACTGCCTCTCCTCGTCTACAACAAGTCGCTCCTTCTCTGCAGCCCAGTGAGGAAGACCCCAGACAGAACTCATGGTACTCCTACCTGGGTCTGGGTGACGTGACGGTCACACACACAGTCACGCAGCTAGTAACGGCTCGCATGGCCTCGCCAGCTGCTGTGGTCACGTTCTCCGTGCGAGGTTGTCACCCCACCAAACTGCCCTTTGACCTCCCACTGTGTCCAACCGTTAATGCAACGTCAACATCCGCCAATGCTACCATGACCAAGGAAGTCCACTTTTTGCCAGAAAAACCTTGAATGAACTTTATGTGGGATTTATTCTATTTGTAGAAACAATAATTTATTTGATGTAAATAAGTGTCACTATTTGCTGAAGGCTAATCAATACAAACCAATATAATCTAGTGGTCCTTTACTAAGGATCAGAACTAGATGTTCCATACTGATGTAAAAGTTTTTAACAATGAAATGAACGTAATTGAATTGGACCATTGACAGAACACGCTCATGTAAATTACTTATTTATTTTCAATATATAAACGTTAAAACCAGACTAAACTAAACTAATTTGATAACTTATTATAAAAAATTGAAGTAAATATAATTTTAGAGTGTAGCCAATGGTGCGGTCGTAAATTTTCCAGAGTGGGAACACTCACAATATACTACTAGTAGTGACAGACATACCAGCTGTTTAGTAAACTACTTCAACATTCAATTACTTTTCTTTTTTACTGTCCCAACTTTACATCCTAGGACACTAAGTTCTACCCTGAACTGTTTTACATAACTTCAGGCTAGTACTAGAAGGATTAGTCTATGGTGCTATCGGCACTGCTCACAATATTTTAAACGAACATGAAGAAGTCTTAGCACATTAAAAAATGCAGCTTTTATATTGTTTAAAAGGATATTGTTTTAAAAAGTCCATTATAGTAAAAAATAATTTTATTTATTTTGTAAATACCGGTATTATAAATAATTTTTCTTGTAACATTAACTGGTGTTTTAAATATTACAGTAAAATAATTCTAAAATACAAAGATGACTTACATTTACATTATAAATTATTATTAAATATAAATGCATTCTTTATCTTAAAATTAGGTAGCTATCAATTAATTCTATGTTGTTATGTACAAATAAAGCTATTAACAATATTTGATGGTTTCACTTATCCATGTAAAATGAGTATACGAATATGATAAATTATTTCTATCACAAGTAACTACAGTAGCACCAAATGTTTAAACATAACTGGCAATTGAAAAATACTATTTATGGTTGATTGATTATAAATATAAAATAAATACAGTTTTAGGTCATTTAACAAATAAGGAACAGTACTTTGTTAATAAATGCTTAGTTACAACGAGTATTGAATACCCTGCCTATATGTATTAAATATAAATTGGGAAATAATCAAAATCTCAAATAAGAAACCTAAACGTAGTAGACTAACAAACTGATACTAATTATGAATTTGAATTGCTCAAAAGTATAATGGCTTCTTACAAATACTTTACGTTGGTCTTTGGTCTGGATAAAAAACGTACTTTGATCATTTTGGAGGTTCAGGCACATTGCTTTTTTGATCTTCTTTCATGTCGACATTTTCCCCATTTTCAGGTGCTTCAAATGGTTTTACTATAACCTGTGAACAAAAAAGAAAGTGCTAATATGATGGACTAACTGACAAATTAGCGTTTAAGTTAACTTTGAACAATTGTTGTCTTCATGGTAAAAACACACCACAACCAAGGGCGCCACCATATAATTGTACAGGGGGCAAATTTTGTATGGGACAGTAAAATGGGCAAGCATCAATTCCTTCTGACTTCTCTTTTCATACCTTTAGGTAAGCAAACAAACCGGTGGTAGCAAAAATTGCCTTCAGTTACAGTCAAACAACCCTAGAAAGACACTTGTGCTTGGTACAGGGTGATAGATAAATACCCCCCCGCAGCAAACCTGCAGACTAAGCGAATTTCCATTTGCCTGATTGAATTTACACTAAAATGTTTCCTTAAAAATATCACATTTATTTCCTATTTAAATAGCATTAGTTTAACGAGTAGCCTACTTAGGTTTGCTGCAACATGGAGGGTAAAAAGGTGTTTTTTTGTATGTTAATAGTTTAGTATGAAATGAATGAATTTTCCAAATTTGATTAAAATATGCTCATGAACAAGCAAACTACAACAGTTTACAATTTTCTCTATAAGAATAACATGGAAATTTTAAATTTACAATTTTTTATTTTTATTTTCTCCGTAGCCATTAGTCGCATAATAGCGCTTCAACATACTAAATTATTGGTTTATATAAGCTCTACAAAATGGTTTGAAAAGAAGTTGCTAAATTTTATGGTTTTAAGGTTAAAAATTGGGAAAACCAATTTTTACCCCATAAAATCTTCCATAAGCCCCTTTTCCAATGGTCCGATCATGCCGGTTCGCTAACTTGTTTGAAGAAACGTAGGTTTACACGTTTGTACCAAATTTAATCAAAATCGGATGGTTTTTGTTCACTTACCACGGACGCCAGTTGCAACTTGTCCATCAGGTCTGATAGTTTCTTGGCCTTACGCAGCTCATTCTGCTCAATAATGGTACACAAGTGCCCCGTCAACAGTTCCTTGCGCTCTCTCTTGGTGAACAGAGCCAACTTGGCGTCCAAATACTCCCTCTCGGCTCTGTCAAACCTCTTCCTGAAACACTTGGACTTTCAGTATACAATGATATATTGTCAGGCTGTGTTATCAGAAGTAACTATTTCAAATTTCTAATAATTTCAAGTAATAGTTTAAAATCATAAACTGTTTATGATTTTAAACTATTATTCAATTTAAACGGTTGGACGGCCAAAATATAAGGGAGTAAAAGTAAACAAGTAATTGTGCCCCTCAGGGTGCCTGTAGCATTAGTGGCACATTTCTGTAGCAGCTGAGATTAACTAGACCACTGTTTTTTGACGATATCATAGATAAAACATACTCCCTTAGAAGATTTTTCATTGTTATGGAATATCTGAAGATAATTTTATTGTTAGTTCTGAACGGTGTACTGTAGAGGTAGTTTTTTTGTTTACGATTTGTTTCATGTTATTTCAGTAATTTAAAACCTCGTTTAACCAAATAATACGATCTGATCATAGACAATAACTTGCCTCCAAGTTATATACCCAAACAGTAAAGCACAAATCAAGAAATTAACCCTAAAATAATATAAACAAAATTTTGACAACACTAGCGCCCAGTGTCACCGTACATGAACTAGACACGAAAAACGAGCTTCAAAATTTACGATGGGATGAGAATTCTACTTGTGTTGCTTAGTCTATGAAGATATTTAATAAATTTACATCACAAAAGACTCTTGTTTGGTTGTTGTTAGATTGGTGTCTACACCAGTGAAATTTCCACGGAAGGATCAACAAACACTTTTAAAGAAACGCAGTCCAAACCCATTAAAATTCTAGATTCGAGATTCCACACATGATTTCTTAAAATTGTTTGATCCAAGATCTGATATTTCTGGATTTTACTATCAGTAATCTACTCATATTCCTCCACTTCACAAAAACAAACAAAAACAAAACAGAAATGCATTACTGCTGTGCTAGCTGAAATGTTACCACAACTGACACTTTTTCCACTACTTTTGTTTTAACTCTTATTTTCCCCGAAGATCTACCAAGTTGCAGTAGATTAACCAATATAACCACTTACTGAGCTTCCATGAAGTCCAGACTGGCGACTTCAATCTGGTTCCGTAATATTGAGACATCGTTGCTCAACTGAACGTCCAACTTCTTCAGCTCTTCCTCAATCTCTCCCAGCCGACGGGCTTCTTCGTGGGTTTTCTTCGTTCTTGATGTAGGGAAATCAAAAAGTTAATTATTAATTAATACTGACTAGGCAACCAGTTAAAAGTTAGCTATATTACAAATAATCCCGTAGTAGTGAAATTATTGAGAGTAGTGGAGTAAAAAAATGTATTGTTGAGTTTGGTAAAAATTTTTGCTTGATTCCCAATCCATCTGATTTTGGTAAATTTATACATTAACCTATTTTAACTCCATAATCAATAGAAAAGTTAATCAATTTCTGAGACATGATATAAATCCTGAAATAGTTTCAGGATCTATACAAGGCCAAAATTGTAATAACCTCCAAAATATTACAATTTTAACTAGGACTACCTGCTATTTCTTAATTTTTTAAAACCAGAAAAGATTTTTTATTGGTAAAGTTAGCATTACTCAAAGCATTTAACTAAAAATAATTATTTAAAACTACTTTTGAAGCATATATTCATTGACAACAACTAATCACAGTCATTTTATGTTTACAAACTTTTACATTTCACTGAGATTCTTAATCACAACAATGAATATACAATGTGCAAACCTGTAACTAACTATCCGTATCATTGGTACCTGTAGTGTTAGCTATGAGAGACTAGAAGCATGTTCAGTATCAAGTCAAACAGCATTATCTTTGGTGAAATACAACAGTGGGTTGACCCTATCTCATAAACACTTCCTCTCCCACGTGTTATCAGAGAGTCAATGTTTTGCCTACCCAACATTATTGACCTATAGGCTACAATAATGGTGGGTGAATATTTTTAAAGAGTTTTGGAAAATATACAAAATTGTTAACTCATTTTCAATTGATCTGTACCTTAAACTTGTATATTTAAATAAATTTGCCCAAATTCCTCCCCCCCCCCCCCAACCCGAACCAGGGTGCCACCAGAAGATTTTACAGTTAGGGGGCTTACTGAGAAGTGCAAGAAAGAAGGGGGGCCTTTAGCACTCATATTAGGAGATATAGCTGTAGTAGTATATTACAGAAAATGGCCTATATTTTATCTTCCCTACCCCTCTCTTAGAGCTCATTTTCTTAAAAAAAAAAGGTTATTACTTCGCTGTACGGTGGAGGAGTAATTTATAAAACAAAACAGTTACTAGAGACTATGGAGGAAAATTTAAAAAGCACACTAGATTATTAGCTGTAAATGGTCTTCAAAAACATTATAATCCAAATGGTTGAATAAAAAATAAATGTACACTGCACCTCAATTTTTTTTTACGATTCAGAAACCTGAAACCTGAACAATAACTATGGAATCTGAAAATAAAACTTATTTTACCTGAGAATATAGGCCTAGTGTTTAAAAATATGGACCAATTCGAGATACTGAAGGTTGTATAATATGAAAGTAGAGAGAGTTTTAAGAGAGGTCGAGAAACACAGAGATTATTACCACTCACCAAGAGTAGAAAACTGAGATGGGCTAGCCATGTGAAAGATAGAAGTTTTAAGAAACTCATCTAAAGTAATACAGGATTGCCAGACCAGTGACGACAACAGAATCAGGAGAATACTAAAAGTTGGAGAGGCCAGATAGGACTTCAGTGGCCATGTAGGTAAGGTAAGAAGCTGTTTCATTCAACATCAACCTAGCTAAAGAAACATCTCATTTAAGGTACAGTATTAACAAAAGCTACACGAGGTATAACTTAAAATTATCGCATCATTAATTTTTCGGACATTTTTTTATTGTAATACACCCAGTAGGACCCCCATCTTGATTTGTGTCAATAATAATTAATAGTAAATAATAGTAATGTTATTGAACCATACATCACCAATGTGTTATTGTTTACCTGTCTTCCAATGCTTTCCTCAAACACTCTTTCCTTCGCCTGTTTTGTTCCTGTATCATCTTCTGCCTTTTCTCAAAGTCCTCCAAGTCAGCTTCACGAGGAGAGCTAAGGAGTTCAGGCAGTTTTGAAGGCAATGATGGTACTTCTCCTATACTTGACGTTCGTAAACTGTTTTCTTTGCTCTGCGACTTTACTTCACTTTCAGGCAATTTTTCTCTTTGTGCTGATTTTTCTCCACCCTGCATCTCTGGCTCCTCTATCTCATCTTCTTCTGGAATCTAAGGATAAGAAAATGTCAAAAAACTGTAAACATATATGTAAGAATGGAAAAAAATGCTTATAAAACAGCATTATAAATGTCAATGGTTAATGAAAGATAAATTTATTTTATTTCAAACGAAAAGTAGTTATAGATTAAATACAGTTCTCCAGAAATGGGAAGATGAACATCAAAAGTTCTGAAGAATCAAAATAATTCTGTGTTTATCAAATAAAAACTGAGTGGTCCAATATAAGATGAAGAAGGCTAAGTTTAGTAGGTTAGGAAAAAACAGAGAATTGAGAGATAAATAGAAGGTTACCACCCGTCAACCCAGATGTTATAGTTCCGATAAAAGCAGAAAATTAGGACAATAGATAAAGCGGGATTTAATAGCGTAAAATAATAAAAGTGTGGTATCGACAGATATGTTTTAGAAGTTAGCCAATCGCTCAAGAGCAAAGAACTGGAAGATATTGAAACACATGAAGTAGAGAAGAACAACGTATAATTAGAAGAATAATTCTGGATAATAGAGACAAATGGAGTGGCATTATTGGCAAGGTCAAACTTCTGCTTTGGTTTCAGTGGCCAAAGAGGTAAGATAACGTTCTCAAATAAAATGTTTTTTTACCTGAGCAATATAAAGTCTGGCACCGCTGGGTAAATCCACTTTGGCATCAGAAGTCACTGTGAGGTTGTTGGATGATTTCAGCATTCTTTCTCTAGTGTTATTCTTCTTCCCAAATGTATTCTGTTTGAAGATCATCTTCTTAACAGGACTGTTGCTCCCTTTGTCTGTTGAATTTAAAGAATGTAAAATATAATTTTAAAACCATAGCTTACACTTACAAGATAGGTAGGGATAGAAGACGGTCATCAGGCAAACACCATTGATCCTTAAATTTGCCAGTAATATTACATGTTTGAGCATTACATAATCAATTTTATTACTGTAGTAGCAAATTTGCTAAAACATTGTAGCGTTTTAAGTTGTGACATGGCAAAATGCTAAAATAAATGCTACCGCAGCTTAAACCCTGCTTGAGAATAAATATAAGTTGGTTTTAACACAAGAGGCTGAAATCAACTTCATGTAAACCCCACACGCGTCTCAGAAGATCTCGAGACTCGTACCCCGGAAGCACTATCAGTTTTTTCAACAGACTCCCAGCTAAATTTCTACAAAGAAAGACCCTTTGAATAGCAGAAAGTTCAGAACCACCATAAGATAAGATAAGTTCAGAATCACCACAAAATAACATACTTTGTAAAACTCTTTGCATGTCCATAACAGTCTGCGGATGGGTTCAGTGAATTGGTTCACAGCCAAGATGAATTGGTGAGGTTCACTAACCACCATGAGTGATTTAAGTATATTTTTGTTAAGTAAATGGTAAATGGATTGAGAGAAAACAAGTAGGCCTTTAAGTAAAACCGTAGGTCTAATGCCTATTGCCTACAATACAACTTCAACTAATCAGCTGTTTAGACCAATTAATTTAATTGTTAATGGTGCAATGAGGGGTGCTATTAGTGGTTGGTACGAGTTGTTGCAATGCATCATTGTCAATAGCAATGAGAGGTTACAAACGAAAACATAACCTCTCTTAGAAGATAACTTCACTTATGAGTAGTGATTGTTAGTAGGCCTAATTAAAAAACTGTAGTTGGTAAAGTAGTAGGCCTATACACAACTCACATAAATAGTCTTAACAACACACGTAAAAGTTTTTAAGGAACTCGCCGAGGCTCATAGGCCTAACTTACCTAAAATTTCTACTCGTGTTGTTAACACTAGGGTATCTTTAAGCCATTGTTGCGTAAACTACAATAATATTGATGCAAGTAAGCTTAGAACTTACTTATTATTGATCACTTATTATTGATTGACTTATTATTGATTGAACTTAAGTATTATTGATCAAGACATTGATACATTAACTTAAGTTTGGTTATTTTAGGCAAAGTAAGGTTATTAAATCCTTTGATAGCCTACTTCGATGTTCGATATTTGGCTACTATTGGAGTTGATATCAAGGTTTTTCCATCATTTTAGTAAATTACCTGACCTAAAAAAAGTTTAAGGGTTAGGGCTTACCTGATTTAGGCCCAACATTTTTTTTATTACTAATTTTTGTTATCTCTTCTGGAGTAAACCCTTCCCAAGTTTCTTCCATGTTTATTTTTATATTTAACCTAATCACATTTTTAATCTTCAACTCTGAATTATTTTCACCTAATGTAGGCCTAGCCTATAACTTATACCTTGCTATAAAATAAAAAATAAACGAATACTAATGTTCTATGTAATAAACGAAGTTACAATTTTCATGTCTGTGAAACTGCCAATAAACCAACATTAAGCTATGACGTCACCGTCAGATCAGTAGATCAAGAAGGCCGTGGCATCAAAACTTCCTAATCTCAATTTCATGTATCAAAACGTCCTAACCTCAAACACATGTTTCACGTGTCAAAACTTCCTAACCTCAAAAACATTTTATGTTTAAATCATACGTTTTGAGCAGTTTTAAAGTGTTTGTTTTACTAATGTACCATTTATATGTAACTGAGGTGTCTAAATAAAGTATATTAACCACAAATAACACTTGTTTCTATACCATAATTGTATCACGCAATGTACTCCCACGTGCGAAGATAGTATAAAAACCTGAGCTAGTAAAAACAAAAATCTTCAAAAACGGTTTATAAGATTTTGATAATTTTTATGTAGTATAATTATAAGTACTTAAGCAACCTGAGAAATAAATTGCATTCCCATACCATGCTTATGATGGTTTCAATAAGTGGTAGAAGTTGTGCCTGTTCATTTCAAGGCAAATGATTTGCCGATTTAGTTAAAAATGTATATCTCAAAAATCGTTTAAACAATTTTAATCATTTTTATGTAGTATGATCATCATGTTTTAAGCTACCTGAGAAATAAATTGCATTCCCATACCATTGTTATGATGGTTTCTATAAGAGGTAGAAGTTGGGCCTGTTCATTTCTAGGCTACTGACTTGCCGATTTAGTTAAAAATATATATCTCAAAAATCGTTTAAACGATTTTAATCATTTTTATGTAGTATGATCATAATGTCTTAAGCTACCTGTAAAATAAATTGCATTCCCATACCATTCTTATGACGGTTTCTATAAGAGGTAGAAGTTGGGCCTGTTCATTCCTAGGTTACTGATTGGCCGATATAGTTAAAAATTTATATCTCGAGAACCTTTTACAAGATTTTAATAATTTTTATGTAGTAGGATCATAATGTCTTACTCTAACTGAGAAATAAATTGCATTTCCATACCATGGTTATGATGGAATCTATAAGAGGTAGAAGTTGGGCCTGTTCATTTCTAGGCTACTGACTTGCCGATTCAGTTAAAATTGTATATCTCAAAAATCGTTTAAACGATTTTAATCATTTTTATGTAGTATGATCATAATGTCTTAAGCTACCTGAGAAATAAATTGCATTCCCATACCATTCTTATGACGGTTTCTATAAGAGGTAGAACATGGGCCTGTTCATTCCTAGGTTACTAATTGGCCGATATAGTTAAAAATTTATATCTCGAAAACCTTTTACAAGATTTTAATAATTTTTATGTAGTAGGATCATAATGTCTTACTCTAACTGAGAAATAAATTGCATTTCCATACCATGGTTATGATGGAATCTATATGTGGTAGAAGTTGTGCCTGTTCATTTCAAGGCAACTGATCTGCCGATTTAGTTAAGAAAGTATATCTCAAAAATCGTTTAAACAATTTTAATGATTTTTATGTAGTATGATCATCATGTTTTAAGCTACCTGAGAAATAATTTGCATTCCCATACCATTGTTATGATGGTTTCTATAAGAGGTAGAAGTTGGGCCTGTTCATTTCTAGGCTACTGACTTGCCGATTCAGTTAAAATTGTATATCTCAAAAATCGTTTAAACGATTTTAATCATTTTTATGTAGTATGATCATAATGTCTTAAGCTACCTGTAAAATAAATTGCATTCCCATACCATTCTTATGACGGTTTCTATAAGAGGTAGAAGTTGGGCCTGTTCATTCCTAGGTTACTGATTGGCCGATATAGTTAAAAATTTATATCTCGAAAACCTTTTACAAGATTTTAATAATTTTTATGTAGTAGGATCATAATGTCTTACTCTAACTAAGAAATAAATTGCATTTCCATACCATGGTTATGATGGAATCTATAAGAGGTAGAAGTTGGGCCTGTTCATTTCTAGGCTACTGACTTGCCGATTCAGTTAAAATTGTATATCTCAAAAATCGTTTAAACGATTTTAATCATTTTTATGTAGTATGATCATAATGTCTTAAGCTACCTGTAAAATAAATTGCATTCCCATACCATTCTTATGACGGTTTCTATAACAGGTAGAACATGGGCCTGTTCATTCCTAGGTTACTGATTGGCCGATATAGTTAAAAATTTATATCTCGAAAACCTTTTACAAGATTTTTATGATTTTTATGTAGTAGGATCATAATGTCTTACTCTAACTGAGAAATAAATTGCATGTCCATACCATGGTTATGATGGAATCTATAAGAGGTAGAAGTTGGGCCTGTTCATTTCTAGGCTACTGACTTGCCGATTCAGTTAAAATTGTATATCTCAAAAATCGTTTAAACGATTTTAATCATTTTTATGTAGTATGATCATAATGTCTTAAGCTACCTGTAAAATAAATTGCATTCCCATACCATTCTTATGACGGTTTCTATAAGAGGTAGAAGTTGGGCCTGTTCATTCCTAGGTTACTGATTGGCCGATATAGTTAAAAATTTATATCTCGAAAACCTTTTACAAGATTGTAATAATTTTTATGTAGTAGGATCATAATGTCTTACTCTAACTGAGAAATAAATTGCATTTCCATACCATGGTTATGATGGAATCTATAAGAGGTAGAAGTTGGGCCTGTTCATTTCTAGGCTACAGACTTGCCGATTCAGTTAAAATTGTATATCTCAAAAATCGTTTAAACGATTTTAATCATTTTTATGTAGTATGATCATAATGTCTTAAGCTACCTGAGAAATAAATTGCATTCCCATACCATTCTTATGACGGTTTCTATAAGAGGTAGAAGTTGGGCCTGTTCATTCCTAGGTTACTGATTGGCCGATATAGTTAAAAATTTATATCTCGAAAACCTTTTACAAGATTTTTATGATTTTTATGTAGTAGGATCATAATGTATTACTCTAACTGAGAAATAAATTGCATTTCCATACCATGGTTATGATGGAATCTATATGTGGTAGAAGTTGTGCCTGTTCATTTCAAGGCAAATGATTTGCCGATTTAGTTAAAAATGTATATCTCAAAAATCGTTTAAACAATTTTAATCATTTTTATGTAGTATGATCATCATGTTTTAAGCTACCTGAGAAATAAATTGCATTCCCATACCATTGTTATGATGGTTTCTATAAGAGGTAGAAGTTGGGCCTGTTCATTTCTAGGCTACTGACTTGCCGATTTAGTTAAAAATTTATATCTCGAGAACCTTTTACAAGATTTTAATAATTTTTATGTAGTAGGATCATAATGTCTTAAGCTACCTGTGAAATAAATTGCATTACCATACCATGGTTATGATGGGTTCTACAACAGGTAGAAGTTAGGCCTGTTCATTTCTAGGCTACTGACTTGCCGATTTAGTTAAAAATGTATATCTCAAAAATCGTTTAAACAATTTTAATGATTTTTATGTAGTATGATCATCATGTTTTAAGCTACCTGAGAAATAATTTGCATTCCCATACCATTGTTATGATGGTTTCTATAAGAGGTAGAAGTTGGGCCTGTTCATTTCTAGGCTACTGACTTGCCGATTCAGTTAAAATTGTATATCTCAAAAATCGTTTAAACGATTTTAATCATTTTTATGTAGTATGATCATAATGTCTTAAGCTACCTGAGAAATAAATTGCATTCCCATACCATTCTTATGACGGTTTCTATAAGAGGTAGAAGTTGGGCCTGTTCATTCCTAGGTTACTGATTGGCCGATATAGTTAAAAATTTATATCTCGAAAACCTTTTACAAGATTTTTATGATTTTTATGTAGTAGGATCATAATGTCTTGCTCTAACTGAGAAATAAATTGCATTACCATACCATGGTTATGATGGGTTCTACAACAGGTAGAAGTTGGGCTAGTTCATTTCTAGGCTATACTGATTTGACGAATTAGTTAAAGATTTATATCTCAAAAACCGTTTACAACATTTTGATGAATCTTATGTGGTATGATCATAATGTCATAAACTACCTGTGAAATAAATTGCATTACCATACCATGGTTATGATGGGTTCTACAACAGGTAGAAGTTGGGCCTGTTCATTGCTAGGCTACTGACTTGCCGATTTAGTTAAAAATGTATATCTCAAAAATCGTTTAAACGATTTTAATCATTTTTATGTAGTATGATCATAATGTCTTAAGCTACCTGAGAAATAAATTGCATTCCCATACCATTCTTATGACGGTTTCTATAAGAGGTAGAAGTTGGGCCTGTTCATTCCTAGGTTACTGATTGGCCGATATAGTTAAAAATTTATATCTCGAAAACCTTTTACAAGATTTTTATGATCTTTATGTAGTAGGATCATAATGTCTTACTCTAACTGAGAAATAAATTGCATTTCCATACCATGGTTATGATGGAATCTATATGTGGTAGAAGTTGTGCCTGTTCATTTCAAGGCAAATGATTTGCCGATTTAGTTAAAAATGTATATCTCAAAAATCGTTTAAACAATTTTAATCATTTTTATGTAGTATGATCATCATGTTTTAAGCTACCTGAGAAATAAATTGCATTCCCATACCATTGTTATGATGGTTTCTATAAGAGGTAGAAGTTGGGCCTGTTCATTTCTAGGCTACTGACTTGCCGATTTAGTTAAAAATATATATCTCAAAAATCGTTTAAACGATTTTAATCATTTTTATGTAGTATGATCATAATGTCTTAAGCTACCTGTAAAATAAATTGCATTCCCATACCATTCTTATGACGGTTTCTATAAGAGGTAGAAGTTGGGCCTGTTCATTCCTAGGTTACTGATTGGCCGATATAGTTAAAAATTTATATCTCGAGAACCTTTTACAAGATTTTAATAATTTTTATGTAGTAGGATCATAATGTCTTACTCTAACTGAGAAATAAATTGCATTTCCATACCATGGTTATGATGGAATCTATAAGAGGTAGAAGTTGGGCCTGTTCATTTCTAGGCTACT